AATCCAGCTGACCTCCCATCAAGAGGTTGCACCGCTAAACAACTTTTAGTAGTTAGATGGTGGGAGGGCCCCGACTGGCTGAAGAAAAATCAGGAAGAATGGCCTAGACAAAGGGAAATACCGGACATGGAAATAGTGAATTCAGAAAAAAGGAAATCAGTCATTTCTGCACTAAATACGCAAAGGGTAGAACATTTTTTTGAGAAATATTCATCTTACCATAAAATGTTAAGAATAACTGCTTGGATATGCAGATTTATCAACAACTGCAGAAGACCAGATTCTAAACAATCAGGAGAACTCACGGTCCCTGAAATAGAAACTGTAGAAAAGAAAATATGCAAGATAATACAAATAGAAGCATTTGGCAAAGAACTTAAAGTTAGCAACCTTTGTACCTTTTTTGACTCAGATGGCCTTATTCGGTTAAAGACCAAGATTACTAGAAGAGAGGAAGAAGAAAATTTTCTCTGTCCAATTGTATTGCCCTCAAATCATGACTTAGTTCATAGGTTAATTTTAGATTACCATTTGCGACTATCCCACGCTGGTGTGCAATTCGTACTAGCCAATATTCGACAGAAATTCTGGGTCCTGAGAGGAAGAAAAAACAGTACGTAAAGTTCTTATGAAGTGTGTTCGCTGTAGAAGATATAGCGCAAAGAATATAGAGACTGTTCCAGCACCTCTTCCTGAAGATCGAGTTCGAGATGCTCTGGTGTTTGAAGTGACCGGAGTCGATGTAGCCGGTCCTCTTTATTTACGAAAAGGAAAAAAGGCATGGATCTTGCTCTTTACTTGCGCGGTCTATCGCGCGATACATCTTGAACTGATATAGAAAGTTTATCAACAAATGCGTTCATCTTGGGATTAAGGAGATTTATTGCCAGAAGAGGTCGTCCAAGTATTATTTACAGCGACAATGGCACTAATTTCGTTGGAACTGAAAATCTGTTTAAGATCGATAGATTGGAAAGAAATAGAATGTCATTCAACTAGTATGAGAATACAGTGGAAGTTTAATCCCCCAACTGCTTCATGGTGGGGCGGTTGGTGGGAGAGGTTGGTACAAACAGTGAAGAAGATGTTGAGAAATGTTCTCGGAAAGTCCTGTGTCTCTTACGAGGAAATGTTGACTATACTTTGTGATATCGAATCAGTAATCAACTCAAGACCCCTTACGTACCTTTCAGAAGATCCAAATGATCTTACGGCACTAACTCCTTCAATGTTTCTACAAGATGTGCACGACGTCGGAGTGCCTGACTTAGACTACCTGGATACCATTAATCTGACAAAAAGATACAAGTTCTTGCAGAACTTAAGAGAACATTTCCGCAAAAGATTTCGTGATGAATATTTAGCTATCCTAGTGCAAAAACCATCTAAACGATCTACTCGGACTATCAACAAAAATGACTTGGTGTTTGTCGGCAGCGACAACAAGAAGAGAATAGATTGGCCAATAGGTCGTGTTGTAGAACTATATCCTGGGAAAGACAACGAAGTACGTGTTGTCAAAGTGAAAACTGCAACGGGTGAACTCCTAAGACCTGTGAAACGTATTTATCCTCTCGAACTTGATAGACCTAACTTGTTTAGTGACTTCACCATGAACAGAAAAAACTCTGCCGATAAGTGTGACAGTGATATGAACTATCAAACTAGATATGGACGTAAAACTGTAAAACCTCTTACATATTTTTAAATTGCTATACTAATTTTTGTTTCTTTTCAGTATTTTAGAAATTTAATTGTCCTAACAGTAGTCAATTGGAACATGTTATCTGGATATGGTATGAATGTAATGCAGAAAATGTTTAGATGTGTAATCCTTCTTTGTAAGTATTAATTTTAGAGCATTAGTTACTTTTCATATTTGTGAAAGTTGTACTTGAATTTTTGTTTGATTATTGATAAATTTTGTTTTGATTTTCCCATCTTATCGAGGTAAAATCAAAAGGTGGGAGGATGTCACATTCTTGCCACTAGGTGGCGGGCATCTCTTCCTTTACTTTTGCTGTAATTAAGTTCCGAGAAGCAGTCGAGATTGGAACCGCTCTGAGGAGCGTAAAGACTCAGAACGTTAAAAATGTACTGTCTTAAAATAATTATCACCTACCTTGTAAATAGTGTATATTAGCGTTTTCTTTGAATAAATAATTAAAAGACAAGATGGCCTGCTAATTGTAATAGAAACTCTTACTGGAAAACGTGATTATTAGAAGCCTGGCGTCGAGAACACTGAAGATGCAGCAGGTAAGGAATTTTACATTAATTTTATTGTAAATAGAAGAACCTGATGCAACAATATAGCAAATTTTGTTAATATTAACATGATGCGTTTTCTAAAGTTCATGATCTTTTTTCAATAATGAAAATATATTAAGACACATTCTTTTCAGTTCTTTCAGATGCCTCGTTCCCTCACTTTCCTCTTTAAATAGGAAACCAAAATTTGTAAATTGGATTTTTCAAGTAAAATTCCGTGCATTACCAAATAATCCGCTTTTTAAAATTCTTTCTGCTTCAGTAACACAGCGAGAATTTACGCCTCCTTGAACAAAATAAAACATTTCGGAAAAGCTAAGCAACTACATTTTTGAATGTACGAAGTCAGATCACAAATCAAAATACCGGTTTTTATCCGCCACATTAATGTGTAAAAGCGCCACTTATAGGTGAATTGAATCGCGAATAAAAAGGGAGGTGCACTCTAGATGTTATAATGGACCCATATACAAAATCTCAACGTTCTACAACTAATCGTTTTTGAGTTATGCGAAATGCATACATAAGTACTTACACATCACGGAAAAAACCGTTTCTAGTATCAACTTAGAGTCATAATCATTAGTCATAAGTATCAGCTTAGAGCAAATGGGATTACATTTAACAATCCGTTTTGGAAAAAAAAAAAAAAAAAAAAAAAAAAAAAAAAAAAAAAAAAAAAAAAAAAAAAGGAGAGAGAGAGAGAGTCCTTCGTTGTGTTCGTACGTACAGACGTCACCCCCCCAAAAATAACTTACATGGATTCCGTAATCGTCAAAAATGGATATTTCCGTTGGTGCTACTTTGGTAGACGGTTGCACGGATTTTGGCGATTTGTTGGCGATTTTTCTTTTGGCGAGTAATACAACTTATGGTAAACCCATTGATGGATAAGTTATTTATGGTAACCGATACTTTGTAGTCATTTTATTTAAAAAATAATGTGTTTTATTGTGCATAAATTCCGTGTTTTAAATATTATTTATGGCTTCTAAATATTAAAAATCAATTTAATTTTGCATTTTTATTTGAAATTATTATTATATTGTTTATCATATTTTATGAAATTTTATATTGTGGATGATGTAACCAATGACGTCACCTTACTTTAAAAATAATTGGTTTTTATATGTATAAATTTAATCTAATGTTTTAAACATTATTTATGGCTGTTAAATATTAAAATACAATTTAATTTTGCATTTTTTTTAAAATGATTTTATTATGTATGAATTTTTAAATAATTTTAATTCTAGGCGTGATGTAATAAGCTCTCTGATTGGTTATAGAATATTTGTGCATTAACAAGCTATAATCAGCTCTCTGATTGGTTTCTGAAAATTTGTGCATTTCCGCGCCGTTTTAAAATTTAATTCATATCTTCGAATTCCTTGAAAGATGTCTTCAAAAATGTTATTTAAATTATGATTCCGATTTGTTTTGTGGTACTTATCAATAAGAAATAGGTTAAATGACTAAAAAATGTAAGTACATATTTTTCCTTTATTTTATAATTGTATACTTCAATTTTTGTTGAAAAAATTAATACACTATTTTCAAAATTGCTGAGATAATTATTGTCCATATGTTTTAATGTTAATTATATTCTATATAACGTATTTTAAAGTATTTGAATTTAATAATATTCTGATTCTTTTAAATGTTGGTATGATGGTTTTTAATTCAATATTCAATTTCAGTAATATTTTAATCTAATTAAACGTTGGCACAATGTTTTTATAGCGGTGTTTTTATTCTCTTTGCTATATGAAAGTAATAGTAACCTTACTTTACTATTTTATACTCATAGTAAATGTATTTATTTACCCTTGCTGCCATCTTAAAAAAGCGGTAAAGTCGCTGAACACTGGTAGTTCGGTCCGAGGTTCGAATCCCGCGAACGGGCTGGCTGCATGGGCGTTTTCGTGGTTTTCCCCATGTGTAACGTGTATACGAGCCAGTTTCCCTTAGAAAGTCCTCCACGAAAGGCATCCCTCCCCTTAGGCAGATAGCCCTCGTGTGCTTTGCCATAATTAAATACACCAACACCAACACCGCCATCTTAAAAAGCGACATTTTCAACAAAAAATTAATCCATTACTTTTAACGATATTTATTTTTTTTAAAGTTTGGAATACTTTACTATGCGCAAAAACAGCGTTTTTCAAGATGGCTGACGTTTGTAAAAATCGCGCCAACAATTGCGCCAACGTAAATCGCCAAAAATCCGTGCAACCGTCCACCAAAGTAGCACCTTTCCGTTAAACATGATACCCAAAAGTTTTCTCGATTACAATACTTACTACCTTTTTATTTCGTGCAAAGAAGTAAAGAACCTATATTAACCTACATATTCTTATATAAACGATACCTAAGTGCAGTATATAAATATTTCAAATCAATAAAATCTCACTATGGCACGCTCAAGGAAAAAATCAATAATCACCTAAATTTTCAAATTACAAACATAAATCTTAATGTAAAAAGCAAATACAAAATAACGCTTCACGCTATCAAAATTGCTCTCTTTCTTAAATATCAACAACTAAATAATATTTTAACTAAAACACATAATGTAAACAAGAGTTTGCCCGATGCCCAAAAAAATTCAAAATTATCTATGAAAAATATGAGCGCATTGTGACGCGAGCGCATTGTGACGCAACCGCATCATTCGTATTCGCATAGAAATTGCAGTCGTGCGACCAACACCGACTCTACAGATGCGAGTACGACAGATGCGGTACGACAGATGCGAGTAACGAAATGAGCTTGTGAGCACCGAATCGGTACTTAGGAGTCAACCGATGTACCCGTTACTCAGTAACGAATACATGCGGTTTGATCCAGTTGTACATCGAAGTGTCGACGCTTTACTTAAATTTCTAGCCTGGCTAACAGACGTTAATCACGCAGCAGGAAGAGAAGAAGAAGAATTGTAACTATGTTTTTAACACGTGCGCAATAAATGTCGCGGGAATTGTTTTGAATGTGAAATGTGAGTTTGTGTATCGTTGGTTAGTGATCTTTAGTCAGGTTAATGGCTCAATCATTAGAAGAAATCAAGAAAAGAAGGGAAAGTCTCCCGATTTATCGAGCGAAAAGGGAATTGTTGCAAGCAATTTATCGAAATAAAACCATTATTTTATTAGGGGAAACTGCATGCGGTAAAACTACTCAAATTCCTCAGGTAATTACGATGGCTGAGCATATGTATGTTTAATAAAATGAATGAACTATTGTCTATGAGAGTGTTTTAAGAATGTCTAATAACAGTGATTGTACTTTAATAAGAAACTCGATAAATGTAAACATCAAGAAGAGAGTGCTAACTGTGCTGAGTTAGTAATGTTAACGATATATTTTTCCACTATAAGACATATTTTAGTACTCTATGATCTCCTTTCTTATCTGTTTCCACACTATATATGTGACAATGATTTTGCAGTAAATGCTAGACGTGGATACAGAAAACCGTAGATTGGGAAATTTAAGCTAATGCAACTTCATTGGGTCAGATGCAGAATGGAGTGTTTTCAGCCTCTTTCAGTGCGTGTCTCTAAGAGAATAATATAGTTTTGGGATGCACACATCAGCATAAATAATCATCTAATCTATCACTCAATAATTTTGAAATTTGTCATTGTTTAGGTTTTCTGTCATGAGCAGATAAAAGCATCAATAGACACACTGCTAATATATTCTAGCACTATCATATTTGTATTTTGAGGAAAAAAAAGAAAAGGTATCTCAAGTGATACATATTAGGTTTATGAAATTCAGACATGCTGTTTTTGCTCATTTATATAAAAGTATATGGCTGAATGCATTTTAATTATAAAATGTCCTTATGCAGGCATAGATATGTGCATCAGACTAAATCATTCAGCTGGTTTTGTTGATCCTAACAACAAGCTCCTATGTTAGTTTCTAAGTTCAGCTCTAGGGTAGAATTGGGTACCCCTTCGATAAGCCACAATTTCTTTTTAAATTTTGGCGATTGAACTTCACTCTGGTTACCATGATAGTTTTAACTTTGTTTTAGCTTCCTGATTTTATTTAAATGAAAATAGATGGATGTGTACATGGAGAAATTTAAGGCAGTGCGCAATGCCTAGTTTGTGCAATTCTAGGATGTTTTTTTAAGTGAAAACAGGTCGATGGGTACATGAACACAGAGTTTGTGCAATTCTTATTTTGGTTTTGTGTAGCGGACATTTTGAAATTGTGCCTTCCTGGTGCCGATCTTGGCGTCAAAAACGAATCGGCAAAAAACAAAGGGCACCTAATTATAAACTTTTACTGTAAGTTCATTAGATCAGACTAATTCTGTTCTTTGAATCGGATTACCTATCTGTAGAAGTAAAGTCATTGAAAAAGAGTGTCGATAACAGTCATTCAGTTGCTTGTTTACATGAAATTTTTTCTGGAGAAATGAAACATAATAGCAGTGATCCATTCTTAATTACGGATACCAACAAAATTTCATATTTCAGAATATGCAAATTCAGATTTCACTTTTGGCAGTTTAATCTTATGATGACATTTTATTATTAAATAGAAAAAACAATATTAGTCTTAGATTGAATTCTCCTTTAAATGGTGCTTAATACTGAAACATGTGCACTCATATGAGTTGCACAAGCCTGCGCACTGGGTCCAAAAGAACTGATTCGTGTTTTTTAAAGAAAATATTGGAAATCTTCAATAAATGTGTTACATCTGTGCCAATAATAAATTTTATAATCAAATTTAAAAAATATGCACATTAAAATTTTTTATTTCTTCAAATTTTTTTATAAAATAAAATTTCTTAAAGGAATAAAAAATCTTATATTAGCATAGGAAGAAAATATTATACCTTTACTCCGTATCGATTCTTATTTTCTTTATTAGTACTAGAGACACAGAGAAAAAATACAATAACAAATGTTAGCAACACATTGAAGAAAGTGTTTTCATGTGTTCCAAATACAAATATTTTTCACATTCGGCAAAGTGCATTTTCATTTTTCTGTGTTGTTTCGCTGGGCAATCACTGCATCTTTCCCCCTTTTTTCTTTTTCATTTCCGATAATTTTTTCCAATAAAACAATTTATGTCATTCTCATTCTCGTTTTCAGAATCTATATCAATGTCTGAATCATTATCATGTGAACTAAAAATTCATGATCACATCCATCCTCATTTTCTTCAACACATTCATTGCCAGTTGGTACATCTAATGACTTTTGCAACATTTCTTTGTTGTAAGATAAATTATGTGACATGTTTGCCACTTTCTATTCTATCACAGATTAACTGTGTATTTGTAACACAAATAGGCCTGCTGGGTCTAAAAGACCTGATCACTTCAAAATCAAGACTCCGAATCAAAGCCCTAGCAAAAAAACTTTGGGAATACAAAGATGTCGACCTAAGACACGACTACACAAGACCTCAACAACTTGCGTGAAATAAGCGTGCTTTGAGAAAGATTTGTTTAACTGCATGTGTCTATTGAACCCAGTGCTCACGCTCACAGGTTAAAAGTCTTTCTGCAGAAACACAACATTTGAATGCGTCAGATTCAAGTTTTTAAATTATATGATACTTCAATATTGTTACAGTTTCGAATTAATAAGTTTTTCCAATGAAGTATTACGTTTTAAGTAGTTCATTACACACCACTCAGTTAGTGCTTTTTTTTTTCCCTTTTACTTTAAATCGTGCAGAAACTTCTCATTACATACATCCATTTTACGGTGTACTTCCTAACTGACTTCTAAAGCAGAAATAAGCCCTTACAAATATTTTTGCATCTGTTAAATTCACCACAATCATGTCATAATAGGGTTTCCATAATATTCAACTACTCAGATTACCATAAATAAAACAACAATTTGGCGATAAATGAAACAAGAACTTCACGATAATCCAAGGGGCACCCTAAAATATAGACTAGCCAGACCTGCTAATAAGGAAATTGGTTAAGTTTTATGAAGTACTTAAAACTCTGAATGAAGAGACTAAATTATTCGATGGATGTGAATAAAAACTTATTAAAACAAGGAAGGGTGAGGCACCCAAAATATAGACTAGCCAGACTTGCTAATAAGGAAAGTTTTATGAATTATTTAAAACTCTGAATGAAGAGACTGAATTATTTGAGGGATGTGAATAAAAACTTATTAAAACAAGAAAGGGTGACTTACTGGCTACTGGCTTAAAATTCTAACAATAGAAGTTTGAAGAGTTGCTTCATTTATTAAAAGAGTTATATATATTTTTAAAGAAATTGCTTGTTTTTAAATATATTTTTAAAGAAATTGCTTGTTTTTAAATCAGAATTATCTTGTTCAAATTTGTTTTAATGAATATTTTTTTTTCTTTTCAGTATTGTTCTTTATTTATATAAAATTACCGTATGCCGCTTATATTTAATTTCTTACTAAGTTATTCCCTTTTTTTCCAATTTAGTATATGTTAGAGGGTGGCATGGCAGGAAACAAGTGTATTGGCGTGACTCAGGTGAGTCGAGCTTTTTTTTTTTTTTTTGTTAAGTATGCTTATATGTGCTTTGCAGTATCGTGTTTTATTTTAAATGTTTAACTGTATTCAAATCAAGTTTTGCAAATATCTTCCACGATTAGAGGGGGAGTAAAAAAAAAAAAAAAAAAAACAACCTGGAGAAATGGGTTTTTTTTACTAAAGTGGAAGAATTATATTTTTGAACATATTTCATATTAATATTATTTTATCTATATTTTTTCATATGTAGCATTGTTATATCATTAATTTAAATATTTTTATTTTATATATAAATTAACTAGACAGATTTGTATGCTGTAGTAACTTGTAATTCTTTTTGGTAATATAATATATATATGTGTGTGATAAAAAAAGAGAAAAAGACATTGCAGCAAATGTTGTTTGGTGAAGCATGTAGGTGCCATACTGAAGAGGAAGAATTCTGATTATGTAGAATGCTATTCAAACTTGTCAGTTGAGGCAGATTAAATTCAATTTTTATTTAAATTCACATTTATAGCCACAGTTCACTTGGTACTCTAATCATGCCTATTTTCAGAGCATTTACATTTTTTATACTATTGCGATAGGAAAAGAACCCAGCGAAATGAAATGGCGTCCAAGCAGCAACAGAGATAGAAACGACATAAGCATTTGTAAGCATAAAGGTTTCAGTTCTTAGAGTTTAGGTTCCAAAATAAGTATGTCATAAGCATTAGACAGGCTTTGTGGTGTAGATTAATCTAGGAGTGTAGTCCAGAAATGCTGTTATTGTTTTTAGAATAAAGAGGAAATAACCAAATTAAAAGGCTATTACTGAATTAAAGTATAAAGATGATTTACATATTTTTTATCATTTCACGTGTTACTGAAGCAAGCGAAAGTTTTTACAGTATTTACAGTGTATAAATCATGAGTAAGCATCAGGGACATAGCTTGTAGGTTTTACTATGCCCCATCATTATTCATTAGTTATCTAATAAAAGTAAGTGACAATAAATTGACAAAAAAATAATTTTGAAAGTTCTTAAGCTCTGTTTTCAAAATAGTAGAAAAATGCCCATTGAAAGTTTTTCAAAGTTTTTGATAAAATAGTTCCACAGAGTTCTTTTCCGTGAAATTATTACACAGTTCATGAGTAATTGTATGAAGTCTTATTCCATATTCAATGCAATAACATAATAATATAATATAATAATTTGATGATTAGTTGGCATGACCATTTCAAGCAAAATCAGCGTACAAACTTGCTGATGGTTTTGGCATAAGTACAATAAATTGTAAAACCTCCATTCCTTAAAAAAGGTAACTAACTAGTTTTTAGCATTGTACAATTATCAAAGTTTCCTAAAATCTTTCATATTAATTAATTGAAATACAAAATTAAGATTGAAGTTTAAGAAAAATAACTCGTATAATCAAGGTAAGTCCTTTAAATTTTGCAAAATAGAATGGGACATTACTCTATAAAAATAAGGACAAAAAAATTATAAATAAAAAAAAAATGTGTAAAAAGTGTGTATGTGGTAGCATTTTTATACTAAAATATGATCAGAGGATTGTGTCTGGTAAACGTACACTGGTTATCATAAATTAAGGAAAATCACAAAAATAGTGGTAACTCCCTTCAAAAATAAGCCAAACCGTGTAAAATTTGAATATGTTGCCGAGTAAGAGTAGCTGAGTAAAACTGCGATATGCAAATTAGTGGCGCTGCTTTCGGAATACGTCATCTGCGAGGAGCATAAAAGTCCATGTATGAGAGCAAGCCCACATACTTCACTGTGACAGTGACATCAGAAATCTGAGAGGCGACCAGCCATTTGTGTGCCGCTCACGTCACGCTATAGGAGGGACCATTTTCAGTGGGCACGACAACATGTCCACTGGACGCCTGATCAATGGAGGGCAGTTCTCTTTACGGCTGAGTTCAGGTTTAGTCTAGAAAGTGATAGTAGGTGTTATTTGATATGGAAAGAACCTAGAAGCCGTTATCAACCGTCAAACATCCGTGAAAGAGATACATACGGAAGGGGCAGTGTCTGTGTTTGGGGTGGCATCTCTTTGGGTGGACGCACAGACCTCCATGTCTTTCCATTCCGTAAATGCTCAGATTTAGAGAGATGACATCCTTGATGCTTATGTGCGCCCATATGCCGGGGCAATAGGTGATGCTTTCCTGTTACAGGACAACAACACAAGACCACACAGGGCTCGCATCATAAATGATTATCTTCAACAGGAAACAATTATGCGCATGGAGTGGCCAGCTCGATCCCCTGACTTGAATTCTATTGAGCACATTTGGAATGCTTTAGGGAGACGTCTAGCTGCTCTCAATCCGCCCCCTCAGACCCTTGGCGCGCTTGCAACTGCTTTGGAAGAGCAATGGCTCCCGCTTCCTATGGAACTGATAGACCACATAATTGAAAGCATCACTCATCGCTGTATGTGCTGTATTGCTTCTAGAGGCGATCATATTCCATATTGAAGGTACTTTTCCTATAGCAAACTGACACCTCTGATTTGTTCATTTTATACATGTGCTAATTTCTATACTACCGTATTTGTCTGGTAATTTCTTTTTATGTTATTTGATACCTTACTATGTGTTGTATATTGTGGGTAAGTTTCATTAAATTCTACGTGTAACTTTTTCAGTAATCGTGATTTTTGTGATTTTTCCTTAATTTATGATAACCAGTGTATATAAAAACCAACTCAGTTTCGTATCCATAGCTGAATCTCCTAACAAAATAAAAATAAAATTTTTGGGGGTGTTAAGAGCATTCCGTGGGGGACAGCGGGGATGTGATATGTAAAATTTTAAAAAAATGTATCTTTAGATTATACTTTAAATTAGCTCTTAATTCCTTTTTTAAATTTGAAAATGCATCATACTGGAAATTAATTCTCAGAGTTGCCAACTCTCCCGATTTAGGTGGAGACTCCCAATTTCCGACCATACTCCCGCCAACCCGATTTTTAACATATTTATCCCGACTTTCTCTTATTCTTAAAATTTCTCATGATTTTTATGTAGCTTGGCTTAATACTACGTTATTTGCCCACAAAAAGGTGATTTTTGGCATCTGAACGCGCCTGTTTTTTCCAGATGCATATAAAAAAGACTGAAAGTGTTTCATATGAGATGGGGCATGTTTCTGCTTTGTGTATGAAAGTCCAAAACACATATTCGAAAACTTTGTTTTCCAGTTCTTCAATGAGAATCAAGCACTGTTGCAGGTAATCTGGCATATTTTAGCCAATGAGTACAAAGCAAGTTCGAGGTTGTTTATTTCGCTCGTCTCGCCAGTGAGCAGCGTATGTTTCACTTGCTTTCCTGAAACGGTTTGTTCAAAATGAAAAGCACCCATTTATGATAAATGTACAAAACTTAATACTAAATTTTGTGCATAATGCTTGCAATAATTGGATTTTTTAAAAATCTGTAAAACTAAGTAACTGGTAATACTTTTTTTTTTTTTTTCTTTCTAAAATTATGTCTAAACTTATTTAAATGTTATACTCTGTTTTTCCATCAAAATTAGAAAATTATGTTTTATTTTGTTTAAAAAGCATGATATTATACTTAATAAAATTTTAAATAATATGATTTTCTAAAAATTTAGGTTAATTTTTGTTGATTTATATAAAATATGTAACTTAAATTCTGAGAAATATTCATTGTTACATAAAAGTAAAATGTTTTAGTTAACTAAAGTAATCACTTGTGCATATTTTAGGTGTTTTCTGTCTAGAGTCAAATTGATCCACACCACAGTCCTAGGTATATCGAAAGTACTGCGGTTCTAGTGTTAAATATTTAGTGATGTATACAAGAATTTATATTACTGGACTACTATGTTTTTCTTTTTTTTTTTTTCTTTCTTTCTTTTTTTTTTTTTTTTTGTGTGTGTGGTTTTGGTTCTAGAGTTTTGATTATTCTGTCAACAGTTTATGTATATATTTAATAATTTCCGATTATATGCATCCCCTAGGGAAAGGTGGAGTCAGAGTATGTTGCCAAAATAGTCATATGGCAATCCACAATGTTACCAAAAACTGTATATGGCAAGACAGATATGTGCAGGGCCAGTACTAGGCATTTTTGTCAATTTGTGCAATCGCTATGGATTCTTTGTACCTCTTTAATCAAAAAAATTTTGCCGTATCTAAATTATGCTGCCTATCACATCTTGTGAATTCTAAAATTCTATTCCTGAATTTTGATGTAATTTTGATGTTTGATACTTCTCCAAATTCTAAGAATTTTGCCACTTGGTGTGAATACGCCTGTTGCACTGCCTCAGTACTCAGCCCTGGGTATTATGTAGCTCAAGGATGTCAAACTCGCGGCCCACAGCAAATATTTTTGCGGCCCGGCCAATATATCGGCAAATAATAATATGTAATAATAAAATTACATATTGACGAAGAAAAAAATGAAATTTTTACTGCTAAGTAATTAACGATAATTTATTCAGTGTTGTTAGATTACTCACAGCGAGCTGACACACACACTACTTAAATTACAAATGCGTGTGAGTAGCTTGCGTTCAGCTACCTTCGGCTTTTGGGGGACACGTGCACTCAGAACTTGTACGCATTCCCCGATAGCCGAATGTGGCCAAACTCATGGTCTCTGTTTTCCAATCATAGTTTTGTACGATATATTGGTGCATGCATGTGCACGCACTTTGCTTTATTATTAATTATTACTTAATTCATATTGTTACGGATTTCATAGTTATTTATTTATTTAGTTTTTTTTATTTAGAATTGTAATTAGATTTGCTTCATGTTGCCTTAGCAACGCAGACGATTTTTGAAAAGACAGCTGCGTTGGAAGGTTAAAAATAGAACAGCATGTGCATTTAATACCTAATAAATAAATATCTCGTAATTGCTGTTGCCATCCACAAAAATCCAGATATTTATAGATGTTTCCAGTATATTCGTGAGAAATTAATTATAAAGCTTATAAAAGCCGAGAACAA